GCAACGTAGGTAAAACTTGTTTGCTTAAACGACTCCAAGGATTATCATTTTGTGAAGACTACGTTCCCACTGAGGAGATACAGGTGATTTGCATACATTATTTTCCCGTTAGAGTCTTGCCACGTTTTGCGTGGAAACCACGTGACGTAAACTGCGTGGTGTAGCTTTCTCATTTAGCGTCTATTTGACTAGAACGCGGTTGCTCTTTATCTATCGCGTAATGTTTCTCTTATTTTTTTTTCGTATCAGGTTGTCAATATTCACTGGAACTACAAAGCCACAGATGATGTTATCAAAGTTGATGTATGGGATATTGTGGACCAAAGCACAAAGAAGAAAATAAAGAATGATAAGCTCAAATTAAGCAACAATTCTCAAGCGCATCCTACAGACGAAGTTAGAAAGAATTTTCATATAAACAGTCAAATCAATTTTTAAGACGTTAGAAGATGCTAACTGCGATGCGCGTTTCGTTGATGTGTACAAAGGTGCCCATGGTGTAGTACTGATGTTCGATCTAACTAAGCTATGGACATGGGAATACGTTCAAAAAGAAATTTGCCATATACCGACTAATATCCCTGTATGCATACAAACTTCTTGAACATTTGGTAACCGTTTATGGTTAAGGTGATCATATTAGCAAATAGACGAGATATGGGTCATCATCGTGTGGTTACTGATGACATGTGCGACAGTTTTGTGGATAATTTCAACAAGTTAGTTTTACTCTTTCTTCTGTGGATGTTTGTTTGGCGAGGCAGTTTGGGGCGGAGGAATGGGGGTTCTTTTAAAAACAAGTATTGATACCTCCGGTGTTGGAATACACTATCATGTGAGAACACATGGAGTAGACAAAACTTGTGTCGTCCTCTTATTTACTCTTCGAAGCTTTCAATTATCTTGAATATCTTGTTTTTAAATTGCCGTTCGATTGACTGATTTTTGCACTCGACTTCGCAACTGGTATCTGAATAATCGATATTATTGTTCCATGCAGTACATTCTTGTGTTTTGTGACTGATTTCCTTTTTCTGACTGATTTCTTCGACATCTTCTTGCTATCTGCCTTAACCTCGGCGATAAGATAAGGTACTGTTATTGATCAAATGAACCGTGCTGGTTAGTGAGTAACGTGTCTCATATGAGTTTCAACTGTATGCCGATGGTCATGCCAGACCAATACAATTTTTCTTGTGTTGATTTAACGTTTATACTAAGACATACTCCTGCACTATTTTTGTACATTGTCGCAATATGCCATTTCCCAGGTTAGTACCAGAAAACCACCTTTTTGCCTATGTTTGGTTCAAGGGCTTGCTTCGGCGGAATGGACAGAAAAGTACTCCTTTATGAAAAGCCTAGATGTCATTATGTTTGTTTTATCTTCCTGGTGTGCATTCATGTATCACTACTTAGTCTCGGCTGGTAGAATACAGGTTAGGAAGTACTACTTCCCCGTTTTGAATAGGAATCGTTTTTACAGATAGACGTTAGAACTGGAAGAGTGAAGGGGGTAGGGTGGATAGTGAAGTATTCACGTAGAGCGCATAGGGTTTTTCTCAGTTTGGCTTTAGCTATATCAGCTACAGCATTGTTACATTCTACTGTCACAGTAATGATAGTCAATCACTTTGCAATCCAAGACTCTCATGTAAATGGCATACCTCTGCTGGTGCTACTAAAAGTAACGATACTCCCGGTTCATTAAATCGTTATTTCTGTCTTCTAGGTGGACCAGTCAGTTTCACTCGTCATGTTTGTGTTTGCATTAGGGAGATTGGTGTTTGAGCCAATAGGGATTGTTAAAAGAAATAGAGATACCTCTAAACGGTCGGAGGTACCTATCCAGCAACTTGGTACATCTACAGACGAAAGTACGGAGGACGAATCAGATGTGTGCAACATATGCGATTCAAAATGGACCAATCGAAAACTCAGTTGTGGCCATCTCATATGCTGTTGTTGTTTGTTTAATATTTGGAAGGTGTGTTTGGAGGTGAAAATCAAACTATGCTCAAATACATTTGTAGGTGGCATCAACAGTTCCTACTTGCCCATACTGCAGAAGTGAAATTAATACAATACGAGAATTGAGTGTAATGGTTAGAGGAAACGTTGACATACTCGATTGTTGCCAAAATACGGAACAGCCACTTAATATGGCAAATTCTATAGAGCTTAGGGAAGAAAATAGCTACGGTCTTGTATCCGTCCCTGCTCCCTCAGAGTCTTAATAATGTACATTCGAAATATCATTCCATCACTTCTTTCTATCACCGGGTCAAACTTGTTGTCAAAATATCATTATTCATATAACCTGGAAATAAATGTAACCTAAACGCCTCTTCGAAACTGACAGAACATCTACACATCCAAATCCTCTGTTTTTTTAATGGCTCGTGTTTTATTCAGAACCAACACCATGTCCGATGGCTCTCCTAGGGTACGATGGACTCAGTCGTCCATGAGGAACGCATTTGGACTACGACTGGTTCATCTTTTTTTCAATATTCCATTTCTTTGTCTCCAAGTAAGCGTCACACTCCGAACATTCAATGACTACTTTTTCAGAGGGAAACATTGAAACTACAAATTGAGAGAAATCGTCAAGAAATTGTTTCCAGTTATTCTGAACTTGACTGTTACAGGGAGAGCGCAGAAGCTGATTATGAAAAGTTGAATTTGTTAAATTTACAATTGATCATCGTTTTTTCGAAGGTTTATGGAAGCAGTTACACAAAAAAGAAGACAAGCTGCTGAGAATCAAGGTGTGAAGCCTTCAGCTGTAACTCCTTCAGCGAGGGTTATGGGAGGAGGACAACCCATTCCAGGACAGAGTTTGTCTCCTGAAAAGTGATTATCAAAGACTCAAGTTGTGTACCTAAATATTTGTTTAGATCTGTTCGGAAACCGTCAGATGTCTCTCTAGCAGGCTCAGCAGACAGTGCTCCTACAACTGTTCAAAGTAATAATTCTTAGAAACACGGAAATCATATTCATTTTAGAAAGCTCTCCGGAACACTTCGAATCACGTAAGGATTCATTTGAGATGCTTGGAGGAGAAGAGGTTGATGATATGAATCAATTCTTAGACAGCTCAGAGATGGCAGAAAAGTCGAGAAGACCTGCTAGTTTACCTCTTCAACATTCCAGTATTAGTGATGAGTTAGTCTCTTATCTGTTTCTTGCACACGAAGTTAATCTGTTCAGTGAAAACAACACCATGGTCCGAACTTTTGAAGAAGATTTCTATGCAGATGATGACTTAAAGGAGAAAATGTCTAAAAAAGCTGTTGAGCAGCAGAAAAAGACAAAGAAAACAACAGTTTTGAAGCTTCAAGAACTCCCACCTCCTTCTATAACTCCACCAGGTCAGTATTTGTGGTATTCAATCATCTTTAGCGTCCGAGTTCCAGCCTACCATGTTCGGCTTGAAAGTGACAATGCTGATTCTTCAAACGATGAGTATATAACCCCAGAAAGAACTGATTCAGATGTGCCAAACACTTTTACTGCTCTAAGTAGTCCTTCTGAACAGGTTTCATTATTATTACTTGAATTCTCATTTCATATTTTTCTAGAAAACGTTGGAGAGTATTGTCACAGAAAGCAATCATCATGCCTCTACTGCTTTCACTGCAGAAGACTTAGATGAATGGCTAGGCAAAGAGGATGTACCTGCTGTTCCAAATGAAGTGTTAACATCTTCATTTAAATGATCAGATTTTTCTTCCTAGATTGAACAGCCAGTAGTTGCTGAATCATCAGATGATGAGATTGGTGTGAAGCCTCCAGTACTAACTCCTACACAACCGACAGTTACCGTGCCTCAAACCGTTCAGATGGTCATACCGGTATGTTTATGATTCAGATGGCAAAACGGAATCCATTGCAGAACTTGAAGACTGAGGAGAAACCGAAGAAGAAGAAGAAGAAAAATGTTGAAGGTTCAACGGAGAAAAAGAAGACAAAAGATGGAGTGGTCAAACCAAAGAAGAGATCGAGCTCCAAGCCCGGCCGCAATAGTATGAAGACTCCACAAGTTACCTTAGAAGAGTTCTTAGGTGGACCTATAGTTCAAGATGACCAGGATTATGATCCTCTGTAAGAATAGCCTGTTTGATCTCTCATATTCCAATATACTTATTTATATT